AAAAATGCACATAGTCCTACACCTAAAAATGTGAATACAATTTTAAATTGTACACCTAAAGACCCTTGACCTGTAGAAGAAACTCAAGTATTAACAAAACACAGAAATTTTCATTACCTTGCCCTTCATCATGCTAGGCTCATTCCCTGCTAAGCTCCTCTTCTTCCCAACCAAAACCCCCAAACTTGTGTTCAGTCCAGGGCTCGCCATGCTTCCTCCTGCTTCACAGCCTCTGTGCGAGCAGTTAGCATCCCTCCCCGGGTGATCTGCCAGGTGGCCATCTTAAGACTTAGCCATCTTTCCAGATCAGTTCAAGATATTGAAAAGCCTTATATGTGATAAACAGTGAGCACGTGAGATGGGGAAATCAAGACCAGGAGTAAATAGAGGCAAAGCAGTGAACATAGAACATATGAACATTTTACATCTTATTGTATAAAAACAAAAACAGGGAGCTATAAAAAGAAATAATCATGAGAAAAATAACTCATAGAAACTAAAAATACTTAAGCAGAATTTTAAAAATTTCAATAGAATGGCTAGGAGAAGATATGAAGGAAATCTGACGGGAAAAACAAAAAAAATACAGTATCATAAAAACATAAGTAATTTAGAAGGTATGCCCTAGGACAGCTGTCGCCTACCTTTTGACCTCATTGACCACCAGTGGTCCTTGGACCACCAGTTGGTGACTGCTGTCCTAGAACAAGTTAACAGGGAAGGTAGAAGGCAAAATATAGTAGAAAAACTAATCAAAAGTTTTTCAGAAGTGAAGGATAAAATCCCAGATTCAAAGCATCACCATAACTCAGGAAAATGAATTTTAAAAGACCCACAGTAAAAGAGTGTTCATCACCTCAATGAAGTTATAAACCAAGAAAAGAAATACAGGTGCTCCCCAAAAATGTATACACATTTTAATAGCGGTTTCCTATTACATTTGAAATGAAATCTATTTCAATAAACTCTGCCTTTATATTTATTCAATGTGTGTATACATTTTGGGGGGATACCCTGTATATGAGATCCAGGGGCTATGTGAAAGCGGCAAAGAGAATTCCCAGGGTAATAATGAAAAGAAGTCCCTGGAGTAAAGCTAAGCAGCAGATGAAGGGAGCATCATCTACTTTAGAACGGGAGGATTAAGGGTTCCATAAAGAGTATCTTAAAAAAAAAAAAAAAAAAAAGATGAACGTGATAAATGAATTAATTTGTTTGGCTATACTGAGAGGATGTTTGTAACCCTGTTGAAGAGTTTGAAACAAGAATCAATTATAGTATATAGAAAACTAAGCAAATGAAAAATTAATTATATATTGCATGTCTCAGTGCTTATATTTCACATCTATACTAATAAAAGGTTATGCTAATTAGACTGAACATCTTCTGGACGACCTTCTGGATGTCCCTCCGGACAAATCCATGGTGGTGGGGCCAAGGAAGAAGTGGTTAGGGGTGATCATGCTGGCAGGGGAGAGCAGTTAGGGGCAACCAGGCCTGCAAGGGAGGGCAATTAGGGGTAACTAGGCAGGCAGGGGTGCAGTTAGGGGCAATCAGGCAGGCAGAGGAGCAGTTAGGGGCATCATACAGAATGGTTAAAGGCAATTAGGCAGGCAGGCAAGTGAGTAGTTTGGAGCCAGTGATCCCGAATTGTGAGAGGGATATCCGACTGCCGGTTTGGATTTCATCACACTAGTCAAAAGAGTTTCTCATTTAAAACTATGCACTGCTTATTTCTAAAAATTTCCACTTAATATTTTCAGACCATGGTTGACTGCAGATAACTGAAATGGAAAGCAATACTGTGAATAAAGGGCGACTTCTATATAGATGTAGGTCTAAGGCAGGGGCGGGCAACTTTTTTCTGCCAAGGTCCATTTGATATTTATAACATCACTCACAGGCCATACAAAATTATCAACTTAAAAATTAGCCTGCTATATTTGGTCAAAAATTTAATTAATTCACCCCCAATGCTTTGACAAAGCCAGATGAAAAATGATTTCAAGGGCTGTATACAGCCCGCAGGCTGGATTTTCCCTAACCCTGGTCTAAGATGAAAATTCCTTATAAATTTGTTATTAAATAAATATAAAGTTTCTAAAATAGCATGAAATAAATAGAATTTATCTAAACCTGAAAATTCACAAATCACACATTTTCTCCCCTAAAATTACAAATAATTTCAACCAAGCTAGCATGAGGGAGTTATTTAAAACAATTTTCAGGATACTTCCTATCTCTTGAATCCATACAGCCCTGTCATTAACTAATATTCACAATTATGACCTCAATATCTCTGCATCATGTGGTAACTGATAAGGAATATGAATGTGAGCATCTGAAAGGATCCAAATCACACAAAACCTGTCTAAAGTAGTTTTAAAAGAAGAAAGAAAAAAGAAAGCATAAAGAAAATCAGTTTTCCAGACAGAAACAAGCTCTTATTGTTCATTAAAGAAAAGTTAAGCAAAATCAGAATAATTTTATGACTAAATGTATTGAGAACATGTGGTTGAAGATTTATGTTTTATTTAAAGCATAACTATTGTAATCCCTGTCATATTCCACAAGTTTTCCTATTACATTATACAAACATAAGCTCACTTAAATGAAATTGATAGCAGAGCTCAAGTTTTTAAGCAGTATAATTTAACTAAACACTTCCAATCTATGCAAACAAGTTTTTCAAAGGAGTATATTTTCTCTAAACTATGCTATTTTATTTTAATCAATCAAGAGTAGTATCAATAAAAAATGCAATAATAGGAGCTATCCTATATTTCATGTCAAAATATATTCTTTCTGAGATTTTGCTTATTACTCAAGAAGGCTAAAAAAGACAGAAAAGCATTTAAAAAGAGCAATCAGTATTCAATTATTCTAATAAAGCAGCTCTCTGAACATATCGGGGAGATGATGATGTTCATAATGATAGTGAGGGTGACAACAATTTTAATGACTCAGTCTAGATGCTTTTACTGAGGAGGAAAATATCCCGATAAAATGTCATTAAAACTTATTTATGGATCATCATCCTAATTGTACAATAAGACCAGTGTGCTATTTTATAATTCTTTCTCTAAATGCAAAAATTACCTTTCTGAGAAAATAACAAAGCCATTCATTTACTTATTTTTCCAACTACCCAACAATGGCTTGCAGCATGACAAATGTCATAAAATGTACTTAAGACCCATCTGTACCATCAGAAGCTTCTACACACTCCTTACTTCCAAACATTTCCTAAGGCTAATCTTGGGTGGTTCAGTCCTTAAATAAGAGAAAGACTAGACTGAAAACATCTTTGCATCATGTGGTGACTGATAAGGAATATAAATATGAGCATCTTAAATGGTCCAAATCACACAAAACCTGTCTAAAGTAGTTTTAAAAGAAGAAAACAAAAATATACCAAAAAAAAAAAAAAAATCAGTTTGCCGGACAGAAAATTCAATGTTTTTCACAAATGGCAAAAGGTTAATCATGAAGTTTTCTATAATGTTGATTAAATCATACCTTAAGAGAGAAGGAAAGAACAGATATATGTGCAACAAAAATTAGGTTATTCAAATTTTGTCAGAGATTTGAAAATTCAGGTAAAGCCTACACTGTACCAAAACTCAGCATTAGATAATGGCTGAGGACAAACACTCAATAATGATATAGCTAACAAAACAAAGTCAGACAACATTTTCCTCTAGTGAAATAAGTTAATAAGTTAGACCTTTTAGTTTCCTCTGTGAGATTTTCAGTTGTCAATTAAAAAGGATTAGAATATAAAGGCATTTGGAGTTTCCCAAAGGATCAGACAGTGAGGAAAATAGAACGTAATAAAGAAAACAACCCTCTATTATGCCTCAGGAGCCAGAGAACAAAACACTTCAGGTTACCTCAATGTCACTTGTGAAAAAATAGTCCCTGAGCCAACCTTTCTAAGCAATGTTAAATAAATTAAGAAAAAACTATAACAAAGCCATATATTATGTGCTCTTCAGCCAACTTATTCAATTAACCCATATCTGCAGAGGGCCCACAGGGTATTATGTCACTTACAAGAGAAATTCTAAAAAAAAGATTAAAAAAAAACACTCTTTGACTTCCAAGCCTCTGTTAGTCAATGTCAGAAAAAGAAAAAAAAGAAAAAATCAACACAGTACAGGGAATTCATAGAAGTTATAAATTGGGAAAACATCAATGTTACTGGTTTAAAAAAAATATTGAGATTTTTTAAGCAATAGGAAGTAAATGTAGGCAGGGCAAAACAAAAGAGAAGAATCCAAGGATGTGATAAAGAACGGAGAAGGTAATTCAAAGTAAAAAGGCAAGAGTTTTCCACATATGCATCTACATAGATAGCAACACTGTAGCAATCAGAGGCAGACAGAGGTGGGGACATGAGGGCTGGAAATACCGTTTCCCCGAAAATAAGACAATGTCTTATATTAATTTTTGCTCCCAAAGATGCGCTAGGTCTTATTTTCGGGAATGTCTTATTTTTCCATGAAGAAGAATACGGTACACACTTATTGTTAAATGAAAATAAAAGAAATTTATTACCTGAATACGGTATGGTAGTACGGTAGTTGTCAACACAAACCAGACAAACTGTGAATCCTACAGTATCAAGAATTTACTCATTTATTCAATGACAATCATGTCATCATCTTCTGGAACATCATCATAACAATCCAATTCCTGAATTTCCTGGTGAATTTCTTGTGACTCCATTTCTTTCAGAATCAGTGGACCAAATCTCTCAGGTTTAGCCTAGGGGGCCTTGTTTTTTGGGGGATGCCTTATATTTCACTCAGAAGGAAACCTATAAGTAGGTCTTATTTTTGGAAGATGTCTTATTTTCAAGGAAACACAGTAGAAGCAAAACATCCAACTAAAAACTGAGCCACAAGGTTAAGGGACAGCAATAGCCATTATCCAATGGGAATGTTCATCAAAATTACAGATATATTAGAGATTTCATAAAGAGGTTTACTACTTACCCGGTTTATACGGTTGTTCCTTAAAATAATGTGCAGTAGAATTTTCTCAAATTCTTCCAACTTCTTGGAACATGTTTCAAGAATATGACTAGATAAGTTACAATCGCTGAGCAGTCTAGCTAAGGTAGCAACAGCTTCTGTCCAAAAGATTGGAAAAGGAAATTTTGGGTCACGGTAAAAAGTTATCAGGCCTTCTAGCAACTGAAAAACAGAATCAGATACGGTGGAAGAGGTGTTCTCAAAGTGGCTCAAGTCTGTTTTAAGACTCCCTGATTCTGTCCAGTTCTTCAGTTCAAGTAGATGTTGCAAAAACTGCATGTGAGAAGACAAAGGATTTTTTGAAGTCGCATCTTTTTTCTTTGCAATTGGCAGTGGTGGAAAGAGTGTTGGGGTGCAGCTCTCCACAAAATCTTGAGACACCTCTGAAGGTTCAGTTCTCTGCTCATTTGATAAATCACACCCAGAATCTTCCAGCCCAGTCAATGTATTTTCAGAACTTCCAGGCTCCTGAGCCTGCAGCTGGGAGGGTGAGTCTCCTGAAATGGAAAGAAAGACAAGTGTAATCTTTCTGTAGCTAAAATATTTTCATATAAAAACTAGACATTGACTTTCCTAATTTAAAATGCTAAATGAAGCACAGATATATGCATTAAACATTTTAAAAGCAGTATGATAAAAATTGAATAGACGAAAAACTGAAAGAAATTGTTTAGGCTGACTGCGGAAAAGGTTTTTATCTTTACTGTAGGAAGTAAGGGTGATTCATCTATATCGCTATCTGTCATTCAACTGTGTGCCAGGCTTGAAAGATGCAGAGGAGAAACCACAAAACCTGAAAGTGGTGCCATCTGGTAGAGTCCAACAAGCAATAAGGGGTACCTAGAGAGAGATTTGCTCAGGGTGTTATGCAAATAGAAGGACCCTGATTAGCTTAGTTCATTCTGGAAGAGGTGATGGTGGAGCTAACTTATAAAACATAAATAGAAATTCAAAGTTAAAAGTTAGGGGAATGGAGGAACACAGAAAACTCCATATACCCAAAGGGTAAGCACAAAAGCACAGGCTTAAGAAGAAAAAGAAAAGCATTGTGTATATAAGGACCCACAGTAATTTGACATTCCTTTTATAAGAAAAACAAATAAATAAGGAAGAGGTTAATATGGAGATTAAGAGGCCAAGTCATAAAATATCTTAAAAGAATTTATAAGTGTAGAGTGAGTGTAATTCAAACTCTAATAATGTAAAATCACTTTGGAAAAAAAATATATGCATACCCACACATGCACTTATATATAAAAATAAACAATTTATATTTGTATGTATACTTATTCATGATTATCTACCTATCTATCTATCCTTAAAACTATGTCTACTATTGTAATCATTAGAATCTTCTCACATGGCTAGAGAAATACTGAAGTTAAGGTTTAATCTACTAACTGTAGGTCATTCTTTGATAGAGATGCCATCAGAGACATAAATAAGGTTGTTGTTGTTTGTTAATGATTTTCACCAGTGATCACATCCATAGCAGCTTTGCTGAGTCAGGGAGGTATAGAGAGGTCAAGCTGCAATGGCCTGGAGAGTGGATGGGGAGAGTGTAAGGGAAGAATGGTAACAGTCATGTGGAATGAATTAAGTTTGAGAACTGAAGTTCCACTGTAATTTGTTGCTCTTTTGTCCTTCGGAAAGTGTAAACTGGAGAATAACTGAAGACAACTGTGGCATGACAAATTAGGAGAAACATGAGCAATTACAGACTAAGAACAGAGACACAAGTATTGGAGATAGGAGAAAATATGAAAATGTCAGGTGAGGCATGGCCTAAGAGAAGGTAGGAGACTGAGTCAGGGATGCTAGTGGATGGGTGCTCATGATTTTGAAGATGCCTCGTCCGCATCCTGACCTCCTCAAAGACACCCTGGAAACAGGGCTGAAAGGGATTCCTTTAGGTTATGTGGAAGTATTTTTTTTCTCTGACGCTAAAGGAACAAAGGGGAGAACGTATAGGAATATTTTTTAAATGCCCCTGTCATAAAGGAAGATAAAGGACATTTCACCTAAGAAGTTAGATATATATTTTTTAAAGCTGGAGACAGGAAGACACTAATTGAACAAGGCATAAGAATAATGATGAAAGTGACATCTTCTACCCTCAGCACCATGTATTTGGAAATCTATCTGCAGTTGAACCTCAGTTTTCAAATGTCTCCCATCTGGAACATTTCGGTTCTCCACCAAGATGTTCACAGAAAAAAGTGTCTTGATTGTGGACAAAAAACTTAGTATTCAATCTGACAACCCTTTCATGCTGATACCTCTGCATGACAAAATGTCTCTCAGGAAACAAAGGAGAGAATGCTTCCGTGGCTGGCCAGATGAGGATTAGCACTTTTAAAACATAAAGTGGCCATCGGCCATCGAGAGTGGTAATGTCTCTCACAGTGTGAAAGTACTCACAATACAACAATCAAAGGCAACAGAATACGTAAAATAAATTGTGTTGACTTGAATAAAGGAAAATAGTTGGCCAGTGATAGCATTTCTGAGGCAGTGATATGAGAAAAAGTGAAGATGCCTCGTCCGCATCCTGGCCTCCTCAAAGACACCCTGGAAACAGGGCTGAAAGGGATTCCTTTAGGTTATGAGGGCGGCTTGATAAATTTAAGAAGTGTTTATTTATAGATTAAACAATACATTATACATGAACTATACATAAAAAAGGTTAAAACGGAATCCTCTGTGGGTCTGGATTCAATGTACATTTCTAATGGTTAAAAATAACTTGGTTTTCAAACAAATCCCTTCTCAAACAGCCTTGTGGAATGAATTAATTTTGAGAACTGAGGTTCTACTGTAATTTGTTGCTCTTTTGTCCTTTGGTAAAATTAGAAGCTGATGAGACAAAATCAGAGCTTTAACTTGGAGTTCATACACTTTAACAAGTGCCTGCTATAATTACTGCTAGTGTGCAAATGTGTGCTTGCTAATTATCACTATACTATCTGACTTCATGATAGGGAGAATATGCAGTAATTTAAAAAATGTGGCGATACCCAGGACAATAAACTATCAGCAATGTGTCTAACTGCACATGGCTATTTCTATACTAAAACAGGCAGATAGCCTGCTCGTTTCAAGCTAATGGACAGTTTCTTTTACTTATGAGCAAGGATAAACATTTAAAACTAGAGGCCTGGTGCGCAAAATCTGTGCACAAGACAGGGGGGTGGTTTCCTTCAGCCTAGCCTGCACCCTCTCCAATCTGGGACATACCTCTCACAATCCATGACCACTGGCTCCTAACTGCTCACCTGACTGCCTGCCTACCTGCCCTAACTACTCTGAATGCCAGCCTGATAGCTCCCTAACTGCTCCCCTGCCAGCCTGATTGATGCCTAGCTGCTCCCTGCTGGCATGATTGTCCCCACTGCCCTCCCCTGCTGGCCCGATCTCCTCCAACTGCCTTCCCCTGCAGGGCTGAGGGGAATGAGGGCTGAGGCTGGATGAGGCTGGATGCTGCAGAGACTGGGTGAGGCAGGGCTGAGGGGACTGGGGGACTGAGGCTGGATGAGGTGGAGCTAAGGGAACTGGGTGCTGCCATCTTGTGAGGGTGTAGCAGTCAATTAGCATATTCCCTCTTTATTAGATATGATGAGTTCTCAACACATTCATCTCATTCTTCACAAAAGTAAAGGAAAGGGGTGGTTATTATGGTAATTATTCAGGTAGAGTATATTTTTCTTTTAGGTAATTCAGAATGTTGCTCCACTAAGAAAGTGAACAAAGTTTAAATATTTCATTAACCTACTCAATTTTTCATTAAGGTAAGCTGAATTTTATGGGTGGTGATTTTAAGGAAGACTCATAAATTCTACTAACTATTAAACTAGGAAGCAAAAATCTACTTTCTTGTTTCTGCTTTTTACTCCTCACTGGTGTGCCTTTTGGCAAATCAAGCTACACCACCTCATCTCCTACCTGTACTGAGAGATACTCATTTGAAGGAAGTAGTTTTACCCATTCCTGTGCTCTGGAGATAGGACACTGAGATTTTATACAATACTAGAGACCCAATGCATGAATTTGTGAACCAGTGGGGTCTATCGGTCTTGCCTGGGGAATTGGGCAAAAACCGGCTCTCTGATATCGCCTGGGGGGGTCCCTGATTTCGAGAGAGTCCAGGCCAGGCTGAGGGATCCCAATGGTGCATGATCAGTGCTGGGGAGAGAGACAGGAGATTGGCCAGCCAGGGAGAGCATGGGAGGGCTCCAGAGCATATCCAGCCTGATTCACTCAGTCCCGATCAGCAATCAGCTAAACCCCAGCAGCAAGCTAACCAACTGGTTGAGGCATCTGCCCCCTGGTGGACATTGCACATCAAAATGAGCAGCTGAATAGCCTTAGCATGTCATTAACATATTACACTTTGATTGGTTGAACGCCTGACTGGTCGACTGGACACTTCACTTATTAGGCTTTTATTATATAAGATGGCTTACAGTGTTAAACTCTCTCTATTGAAATGAATACAAGTTTCTGATATTCATTTTTCACTTTGCAAAGTAGTTTCACCACATAATTCAATTGTTCTTCCCAACAGCCCTGGGAGATAATGAAATGCAGGCTCAACTTGACTAAGAGATCTGGGAAAAGCCATACAGTGAGCAAGAAAAACCAATTCTTCAGTTCCAAGTCCAATCATGTTGTAACTACAGCAGGAAAAATAAAAATAAAAATAAAAAAGCCTGTGTTTTTCCATGCCAGCTTCTGAAATTTCCATTATAGTGTTCATCAATTTCTATATGTTGTCCACTTGCTTATGAGCTCCCAAATGTCAAAAGTACTATCTCTTGCAATCTTTGTGGACATCTCACTAAATAATACCATCACCTGCAGAAGACACCTTATCAGGAGAAACTCTTAGTGCTACCACTTGCTGCCGGCTGTGACAGACAGATCTTCTGTCATCCTTTAATATTCATAATGACATTGGGAGATAATGAAATGCAGGCACAACTTGACTAAGAGGATCAACTCCTTTGCAACTTTTAATAAACCACAAGTTTATAAATAAGAAAAATAACATAGAATATATAGACAACAGAAAGAATTTGGCTATGGTAGTAATCATTTAAAATGTCTCAAAATACTTGTTAACAAATAGCCAATAATATACTTTTTTATAGAATCTACCACTTCTTATATATAACCAATAACCAATTTATTTCCTCTCCTATTTGTTCTCAATGAAAACTTTGAGGACTATGAACAGGGTTTCCATTGATAACCAGCACTTCTATATTAGAAAGTACTCACTGCCTAATTCAGTAAATAATAGTGGGCAAGCATCATTATTGAATATGTCCCTATAAGATGGAAAAGAGAAAGAGGAGAAAAAAGCTTCCTAGAGAAAATTAAGCATTTTCAGTAATACTGAATATTAACAGGTTACAATCTCTGACAATAATCATTAATAATATATTTATCCATACAAACAAGATTTTTAATTAACCAAGCTTATTTAAGTAATTTA